CATATGTGGTAATTAACTAAGTCCATACATCTCATGGAGAGTTTCTTGCATACTGGACACTTGGGAAAAAAAATCCCATTCTGCCTACTGAAGCAGCATTAGTTTTCTTTGTGTAACTGGAGTAGCCAGTGCTTTTAAGGATATTTCAGAAAGCCCATGGTTCCGAGGCTGCAGATTTGAAGACCAGGTTTCAATGTTGTTCGGCATACAAACATGAGAAAAAGGAGAAATGTTTCTATTCCTGCAATCAAATTATGTTTCTGGTTCTCTAAAGAGGTCCAGCCATATGTCCTTTCTTTCACAGTTTGTTTTTTGTTGGGATTTTTTTTTTTAAACACTATTCTGTCCAAACGCTAGTCAAGTTTCCCAAAAGAACACAAAGACAATTAAGAATAAAGCAGCAGCTCACCTTTTTTTTTTTTAAAGTTCTGACATCTGGAGTTGAACTGGTCCAAGCACTGCTGTAGAACAGGACAAGGAATCACCTGGACTGAAGATTACCTCCCTCTTCCATAGATGTTTGGCATTAGGCATTCACATTACTTAAATTGTACTCATACAAGCTTTATTCTAGAAGAAAGATTTTTGACTCAGCTACTGCAGCTCTCCAACAAGTCACACTCGGATTTAGCCAAATCTGCAATTGTGGCATGGACAGCTCAGAAGTATATGCAGAAAGACTGCTGTACCATTTCAGCTTAGATCTTTGTTTAGTGGAGATAGGGATCTGTGCATAATAGGAGACAATTTATGTCTTTAACGTATTCACTCAATCTAAACATCAAGTCCTCAGCACTTAATGAAATTCTGGTCAGACTGGGACTCCTAGGTCTTCACGCACTTCAGGACAATGTGGGAACAAGCACAAAGGCAAAATAAATTACAATCTATAGTTTGGGGGTTAAAGGAATCCATAACTGTTAGGCATTGAACTGGGCTCACCAGCTCAAGAAAGACATGGAACTGCTGGAGAGGGTCCAGCAGAGGGCTATGAGGATGATCCAGGGATTGGGGCTTCTCCCTTATGAGGAAAGGCTGAGAGACCTGTGTCTGTTTAGCCTCGAGAAGAGAAGACTAAGAGGGAACTTCATCGATGCTTACCAATATCTAAAGGGTAGGTGTCAAGAGGATGGGGCCAGGCTGTTTTCAGTGGTGCCCAGCAACAGGACAAGGAGCAACGGGGACAAACTGGAACACAGGAAATTCTGTCTCAACATGAGGAAAAACTTCTTTGCTCTGAGGGGGACAGAGCACCGGCACAGGCGGGCCACAGAGGTTGTGGAGTGTCCTTCTCAGGAAATATTCAAAGCCTGCCTGGATGCATTCCTATCCAACCTGCTCTAGATGAACCTGCTTTGGCAGAGGGGGGGGGACTAGATAATCTCCAGAGGTCCCTTCCAGCCCCCACCATTCTGTGATTATGATGAGACCTCTGTGAAGACAGATTATACCAGAAGTACTTATTGGTACATCCTTCTGTTGAGGTAGTTGATCCATGCTGTTTTCAAAGACTCAGGAATATATAATCCTTAGATCTGAACCACAGTGATAACTCCTCTTGCCGTTAAGTAATGCATATACCATTATGGGCATTCTGCCCAGCTCTAGACTTCTCACTCTATGGTGTGAAATATTTTGGTTTTCCTCTAAACCATTCAAAACTTAGACCTAGATGCAATGGCTGCATTCTACATCTACATTCAACACCTTTATTCTAAATTAATTTTGGTATCAGCTCTTCAGAAGTATAGAGCATATATGCTAAATGGATGACCAGCTCACTGGTCTAAGTAAAGAAACAGGGCTTTTACTTCAGAGAATCACAGATCTAGTTTATCATACTTGTCTATTTTGAAGTGAGGCAGTAAACACCATCTAATTTTCAGCATACTGGTATATATATATATATATATATTTGACAAACTATCACTGCTGCCCTTTTGAGTAGTTTTAACAAATACTAAAAAGGTTGAAACGTAAAGGCAATTGAAATGTCTATATTATATAGTCCCACTGTAACACCAGCCTTGATCAGCACAATGAAAAGCCATGAAACTTCACACTGCTATAACATACACAGAGGAATAAATCTATGTAGAAGCTTCTTGACCGATTCTTAGTATCTACTGAACACACTTAAAAGGAGAAATGAGGCTTCCCATTGCAAGCACAGGTAATTGCAGTCATGAGTCCTCTTCCGAAACCAACTTCCTACCTACCACCCATCCATCTTAGTCTGTACTGCTTTCTCCCATCCATTGGGTCTGACAGGGAAACTAAGATGACATGTTTCCCAAAGTAAATTAGACTTTTGTAAAAACAAATGTACTATACGCAAGAAAGAAAGCATGTTAGAGACATGTAATCCAATACTGCACAATGTTGGTAACTGTCCTCTATGTATTTCAGCTATACAGACTGCGTTTTAAAATATTTTTAACAGATTACACATTATAGAAAAGTTGAGGTATAACAGTGGGAAACTGTTTTTTAAAATAATAATATTTGAATTTGCTTCTTCCACTTCTAGTAGAAAAACTGGTAGTAGCTGAACTGTAACTGAAACATTATGTTAGGAGGGGCCAAGTGTTATTTACATATACAATGCCACACAATAAATGAACCATGTAAAAGGAGTAAAAAGCTCTTATCAGAACTATCAAAACAGGATCTGGATCAAATCGAAGCCAAAGTAAATGGAGAGAAACAGCAAAGAGTACAGTAATACTAAGAGATACCCAGAAAAGCTCTCATATGAGTTTTAAACTTCAGATGCTATTCCAGTTTTCACAGGGGTCAGTTTGGATTTTTGTTTGTTTTATCTCTCTTTCCATATATATACATGCTAATATTCCACCAATTGAAGTTTTGTTTCAGATCAGTATTCTTTGCTCACTTGTGTCCTTTCTGTAGTTCTACTGTCATATACTAAACAATCTTTCCTGTAACGTATTTCATTATTCTATTAAATGTACATTTTTATATGAACAGTCTTAAAAGAATTCTATAGAGAAATCATTCATTAAAAAAAAGTGATTCAAATTCAAAAGAAACCTTTTTCAAATGTGGTATCCACATAGAAGAGAGGAATCTGGAAAGATCTCCGTGCTTCTGAAGACTGCTGTATCTTCCCTAGAAGAGATTACAGCTCCCTAGGGCTCAAAATGTTAATGATGGACAGTGGTTATTTTTTCTACTCTGGGAAGTTTGTATACATTAGGTGTTTTACAAGCATTTCTGCAACTCCTCTATTAAATTATTGGCAGCATGCGACAAAACGTATCCATTATTTCTATAACCTGGGTAGCTCAATACTCTCAAAGCTCTAACTTCATAGTTTTAAGACTGAATTAAAAAAAAAATCCCAGGATAGAGCAAATCCTTCTTATCATGTTATCACTGACTTTGAGAGCTTACTCACTTGACAATAGTATTTTAAGTATGTCTGTGAGACCAGCAGAAACTCTTCAAAGAATACCACTGACAGGATAATTTTTTTCCCTCTGATTTTGTTCACTGAGTTCTTATTCAATACACCTGCCCTCCCCTTTTGGTAAGCGCAAAGCTCCACCTTGACATTCCCACAAAGGACAAATATACTCACATGCTTTCAGGTCTTATGGCAAAATTCACATTTCATGCTTTGCAGAAGGAAGTATGCTGCACCAGACATACCACCACCCATAGCATCAACAAAAATGTTCTTATACATTCTTCATCAAAGCATGCCCAGTTCAGATTTTACCATGGCAGCAAACAATAAAACCAGTTACTCAGAACCAACCCACGGAATGCTGGCATTAACCAGAAATCTAGCCAAATACCGAGTACAGTCATGATTGTTACTGCTTGAGACACACTCTTGGCAAATTTCCAGGGCCCCAAGAACAAAAGTTACTCTGCTGATTTTTATTTATAGAGTCAAAAATAAGTACAGAAATCGTAGAATCTGCAGTTATTTTTATTCTCCTCAGTAGGAGGATTTTGCTTTAGTAGGAGGTAAATTGCTCTCTGTTTACATTGTCTGTAATAAAAGCCTGCAGTTGAGCAGCCTTATCCTCACGATGCAATTACAAGGAGAGGGTTTTCATGGGCTGTGCTCTAAGGCTCTGCAGGCCTCACTTGGCCTTTTGGCCACAATTTGATTGCCCTTCACTTTTGTAAAACCATGTATTACACATCTTCAAACCTCCAGAAGGGTCAAAGTATGGAAAACTTATTCAATAATCAAGTCCATGCCCAAACCTTGCAGATAATTAGTTTTTACAGACCATTATCTATAAGCCTACAGACTAGGGGCTCTGATTCCGCAGAGCACTTAGTCAAATGCTGAAATATTTATTCTGAATAAACTTAACCAGGCACTAACTTCAGGCAGATGGAGAAGTGACTGATTGGTTATGAATGGACTTAACTATCCATCTAAATACTTTAATGTATTAAGACCTTGATTTGGACAGCATTTTATATGAATTTATACAGAGTTGGAACACCGAGTGACTTGCTTTTCCAGCTGTGGTTGCACAGCAGCTACCCAGTTGTGCGCATTACCAACTTCATTAAAATAGAGAAAGGTATTAAGGTTCCTGGTTTTTTTTATTTTATTTTACTTTGATGTTTTAAGAGCTATTTAAAGTATAAAAACTTAATAGCGTTTCACTGCACTCTTTATTCCACTAGAGGTCAGCCTGCAACAGAACCCCAAGCAAACACAGGAACTGCTGCACACTGGTAGCGCTGACATTATTTTCTTTCTCTATTTTTATCTATTAGAAAGATTTCTTCAGAGCCATAACTTAGATCTCTCACTAAAATGGAGCAACAGGAAGATATAATGGTGCATTTCATTTATGAATGACCTATAATAAATTACTATGAAGTATTCCAGGTGCCACACGAGAGAATGCTTTGTCTGCACATGAACTATATTTCACATACTTTAATTTGGCTGACACATAAAACTCATTTGACATTTTGCAGGTATTTCTTTGAAAGGATATTTGGTTCTTGTTGAGCGTTAAGGTATGGAGGTGGGGTAACCTGGGTAACAGAAGGTCATTTCCGAGTAGATTGTTGTCCAAGATCAGCTCTTCCAAGTAACTGAATGTTTTCAGTCCTTCTAGTGACCTGCAAACGACAAAGGCAACAGGAAAAATGATACTCCACTAAATCAGGGATGTCATTATGAGCCGAAATAAATATTTTAACCTTCCCTTTCAGGAGTGGGAATAGTTTTGGTTTGGGCCTGTCAGAAGAGTGAATGACAAGCATTAGTGGCAAGGGGAGTGCTGGCACTGCAACACATCCTTCACATGCTGGCAGGATGAAGGATGGGGGTCACTTAGTGAGTAGCCAGGATCCAAAACAAAAGGCTTCAGATATGGGGCCTGCAGGATGAATTTGTCAATGTCTTGTGCCTTCAGGCACCCAGCCTCGCCTGACCCTAACCTCCATTCCCAAGATAAATAACTCTGTCACAGTTCACCTTCATTCCCTGGACACAAATTTAAGTTGTCATCCATCATTTCTGCCAAGAAATATCATACCCCGCTAACAATAATAAATACAACTTCAAGTATCATTTCTTAGCAGTTACCTTACATGCAATAATAGGAAATGGAGAAGGGAATTTTTTTTTTTCCTTTTTATTAACCACTTAATTTGCTTCTTGAGTCTCTGCAAACAAAATAAAATGTTCTCTACAAAATAAAATGCAGAATTACTCCAGACAGAAAAGACATTTGCTTTCTTTTCAGAACTTACTGTCCCACTCTCAAGCCACAGGTCAGATTGCAGAGAACAGCTTTAAAAAGGAGCATTTCACAACATGGAAGTGCACATGATGGCTTGTAAATAAACAAGATTCTGGAAGTATTCCTTCCTCTGTTAGCAAACTACAGGGGAAGAACCTAAAAAGAACACTTTGGTACCTTGTTCAGGCATCTATTCCAAACTTGATTCTTAATGCTTGCACATTCCAACAGGAAAAAAAAAACCCACACATTAATCAAGTAAGACACATGGTATAAGGAGCATACGCACAGACACGCATTCACAGCTCATTCACCTACCAGACACCTAAAGATATGCTGAGATTGCATGACTTGACAGCTGATCTACTATGCCTACCAGTGGGAAGATCATCACTGTATCTCCTGGCTGTTTTATAAAATGTGATGAATAAGGGAGGTGCAGTCTATACTATTTATTCATTTTCCAATGACATTTATACTGAGGGGATTTCCGCACCCTCCCCCAGTTTTTGCAAAGATCAAAATACAGCCAAGGTCCCTGTTAAAGAGTTCTACAGGCACTACTACTGGAGAAAAATACAAAAATTATTAGGAAGTATATAAGTTTCAAATTAGACAACTTAACATTCATCTGTCCAACAAAAACAAGATACCGTTTTTGTAGATGCAACTTACTGACCACTTATAAATCACAGTCAAAGCGTTCAAACAACCAAAAGAAATCAAGTCCGCGACCTTTACACTGGGTACTGTACACTAAACTATGAATATTCAAGTAACATTTGCATAACACTGAAACAGTGTATTTCAGTCCAAGGACTCCGAAGGGTTCACAGACTGTTGACTTGGCATTCTGAAAGGGAGGTACAACTATTACTAATGCCATTTTGATGCTGGGCAGCCAGACCTGAAGAAAATTTGCTGTGCCTACACCCTACGGCATATCTGTATCGTTACAACACACATGACTACAATTTCTGAAGCTGAAAGAACAAAAGTCCCTATTACAAACATTGTACTGAAACAACCGCCACAGTAACAGTCGCACTTTTTGCATTTGCCTTTAATAAGCTGTTTTGGGAAAAACTCAATTCAGCCTACATAAACTGTACGCCGTTAAGAGCTGTGCTAGCATGCTGCATTAAGGTAGCTATTTCAGCAAAGGGTCACAACAGACTTGGTTTGGCCACAGTCAAGATCAGAAGAGAGATCAGCAAACATTTCAGACAGTGCTTTCCCCCAAGCACCTTTAAAAGGCAAAACAACCCAGAGGAAGTAGGAGTGAGTTTATCAAGCTGTTATGAGTTTTCATTTCAGTTTATTTGACAAACCTAGTTTAGCAAATTCCCCTTAAATACTCTTCATTATATAAATAGTGGATTATTTCCAAACCTCACATTTCAATGTAAGACTTTGACTTGCCAAAGGAGTTCAGAGAAGGCCACCTCCTTGTCAACACCACAGAGCCTTATGGGATGTTAATAGGTCCTTTGTGAAAAAACATTGCTCAGGCTCTGGTCAGTGTCAGCATCAAAATACACATTGTTCCTGAGTTATGTTATGCAAATATAATACTCTTATCATAAGAATCAGTAAATGGTTGGCAACTGGCAAGGAGAAGAAAGCGCACATCCAAAACTGCTGCAGGGGAGGCATAAAACAAAATGACAAGCCATGAAGCGGGACAAAAGGCCTGGAAACACTAGAGGGAGTTGCCTATTGAAACAGCCTTTCTTTCACAAGCCTGGGCTAAACACAAGGGTACTAGTTGCATAGATAGGCAGGGAAAATTGTGCGCAAATCTCCTTACACCTGTCTGGTTTTGATAATTTTTGCCATGTAATGTTATTAGCTGCTCAGTTAAAAAGGAGCCGTGTTACACAGGGGGTTGCTTATTAATTGTTGTTTTCATGTCATCAGAGCAGTGTGCACTTGGTGATTTAATCACCTAAATTCAGAGTCCAGGGAGATGGAAGGGGTTGCCACAACAGAGAGAGGGTGTAGCCATTAACATAAATTCACACCCATATGTTATTTTGCAATTCACAGAATTCTCATTTTTTCACCTTAAAGACAAGAAAAATCCAGCACCAAAACAAAATTGGCAATACAGTGGGTAAAGAAACAAAAAAGGAAAAAAATGCGTTTGTGATCATTCAGTGACACGAGCTACTAAATTCAAGGAAACAATCTCTACCATCATAATACATAAGGGAATATTGCCCAGCAGTTGTACTCCACATTTTAAAAGTTTTAAGTACAATCCACACAATCGGTTTTATGGTACCAACTTCAGCAAGTCCCATAACTTTTATGTGCCTCAATATCCCATCTGCAGATGGGTGTTAAGAAAGAACTGAAATCATGAATTAGGATATAGAAAGCATTTTTGAGAAGCTGAGGTAGAAATCAGAACAAAATAGTGGCATTTTTATTTTTAATGAGAGTGAGATAGTTACATTAATGTACTCCAAGTATTTCCTCACAAGTGCATTACAAAAGAGGAGAGGAGTGCATATATATGCACAGCATAGGAAGAAGCACACAAACACCCCAAGAGATGAATCTAAAAAGAGGGGAAAACCCCAAGAAAGAGAACCAGTCTAAAATTAAATCTGCGCTGTTTTCTCATAGTTCACAGCAGAAAAAAATGTCTCCCCGTATTAGCATATTGAAACAAACACACAGTCTTACCACCACAATACAACCAGCACTGAAGGGGCAGCGGCAAGTAGTGTTTTCCCTGGTTTCAAAAGGCTAATAAGCATCGCTAAGGTGTATTGCAGGTGCAATACTTTTCCCTGCTCTAATGACAGGAAAGCTGCCCATTATCTCACCCACAGGTACCATCTCAGTTACCTCATCGCAGGGCTCACACTCTGCTCCCAGAGGAGAGCAAGTGCTGCCAAGAGATTTCCATTGCAATTTCCAAAGTCACATCAAACCGACAAAACATCACAACGTATTCAGCGCCGCCTCATTCAAACAGAAAAAACTTTAAGTTTCCACTGTAATTAACCCTATCCTCGTTAAGATAATTATGATCAAGCTCCCTGTCACAGCTGATATCACAGCATCATTGCCTGTGGCTCACGCTTTGCCCTCATTAGCTTACAAAAACACTGCGCTAAACAGGAAACTGACTCCCTCTGCAAAACGACTTAAGATGTTCTGTAAGCAGACAGTAAATAATCCTTTAGAATACAAAGGTCTCAGAAATGTCATTTTATCCAAGTCCTTTGGCTAATCAGTATGATTTCTTCCAGCTTTCTTTTCCGTAATTCATTCATAGTTTGTAACAAAGTTTTAATCGTAAAGGAATGTCATGGCAGAGATTATTTTTTTTTTCCTCTACTTGTATGCATGGCAACTGTCTACTACACTATTTCATAGGGTCCCTCTGGCCTGATGGGAGTTTGGTTACAATGAAACTAAAGAGCAGCTCATCATTTTGGTAATATTAGACAATGAAACCACAAGATTTTATAAACGAAAAAAAGCAGAAGCCTCTCAAGTAATAGACAAACATTGGTACTCTGCAGTTGTCCCTGTCTGGAAGAACAAGCTGTTCGGAAGTACATGCTGAAAAAGAAGTGTTCCTCACATTTTACCCCACCCCTCCATTAATAAGACAGCTGCCTCATATCTAATGACTTTTTCCTCCTGTTTAACAGGAAAAGAGAGAGCAGTTAACAATATGTAAATGAGAGAGTTTGGCTTTAGCCTTGAAATTGATTTGCACTCTGTTGACAAGAGATAGCCATTACCAGAAGTTAAAGACAGAGCTGTTACAAAATAGGAGCTTTTTAAAATACCTTTTTTCTTGCCTTTTATGTTTTAGCAGATTAAAGGAGAGCAGAATCAACACAAGAACCCTAGTAGTAGATGATTTCGGTATTTAAGGAATAGAAATGTAATTTCTATTTCTCCAGCACCTGCCAGCCAAGGAGCACAAAGCAGGTTTTTTTTAAACATTAATGAATTACTCTTCAAAAACCTGCTGAGCTTAAAATTCCATTTTGTAGTAAAGCAGAGAGAGGTTAAGTGACTAACGAAAGGTGACCTCCAGCAATTTTCTAAGAGACAAGAAATAAAACCCAGAGCTCCTGACTTCTAGTCCTTTGACTTAACCTCACCAAAACAAAACAAAGAGCAATAAATAAATGCTATATATATATATATATAAAAACATAAGACAGACTCATGTGTAAGTTTAGATTTTGCATAATTCCCTGGGAACGCAAAACATCATTTCAGGTTTACTTGCTTTGATTCCTGTTCAATTTTAAATTCCATTTAATCTGAAATACAGCATACAAATAAGGGGAAAAACCCAAGCCATTTCCAATTCTGTTCTGATGGTGGAAGGGGTTC